TCGTGCATAAGGATTCGATTTCCGGAAAGTGAGTAGGCCCGTTCGGTAGAGGTATTTGAGCATTTTCTCCAGTAATCATAGAAGACAGAGTGCTATCCAGTTTTAGTAGATCTTCTTCTCTCACACCTTGTGACAAATCCATTCCTATTAAAATGGGGTTGTCTGTGTCACATATGGGCTCCTCGACGTCGCTCAAGTCATCAGCATAGTTTACCATATCTCCTTCCACAGGTACCACATCATCATCTGGAGTAGGTTCTCCTTCAAGCTCCAATGCTATGACGTCGCCCATTGTAGCTCTGGCATACTCGAATCCCAACAGCAACTTCGTCGCTGCCTCAGGTGGTGCCAAGACGGCGTCGTCGTCTTCGCTAGGAGCAACCCCGCACGGTATGGCGTTTTTCCCCAAGGCCACCAATCGCCTTCTATTATAGTTGGCGATATGCCACGAGGCTCTAGCATCAAACACCTTAGTTCGGAAGTTCCGCATGGAGTAGAAGGCCCTGTCGAGGGTAGAATGCAGTGATTCTACCTTCGACGTCCCTCTTAGGGACTTGTACACTGGTAGTACTACACCAGTATTGCGGTAGTCCGCTTCGCCGACTTGAACGTAAGCGATGCCTTCATCAGCTACACAGCCATTGAGGATATGTACACACTGGTTCATCACAGCATTTTTGACTGCGTGGGTGATGAGTGGGTACGAAGGTGATGCCACGGTTACAGCCTCTGTCTTCATACCGACGGCCCTACACTGCTCCGCAGCGACCTTATCAAGGGCTATGTGAGCCTTCACCACTAGGAGCAACTTGGCACAAGTAGTCTTCGGATCGCCGATGGACCTTCTCACATATTTGGAGCGGTCTATCCTCTTCTGCTCGTCAGTGAGATTAAGGTTAGCTTTCGCCCTCACCTCCTCCAATCGTCTTGTATCCTCCTCAGAGTCCTGGAAGAGCGACTTGGAGTTGCCATTACAACATCCCGTATCGACATATAATAGTTTTGGTACATTAGGTCCGTGCCGTTGGACGAGCTCTTCCATTGCTGACTTCATCCATATCCTGCCAACGTCAGGGACGACATAATAGCCAAGTATCAAACCTCCGTCTCCCACAGCAGTCAGTGATTGTGTACCTACGTAAGTACCTCCCGTCGTCCATATCAGCCAGCTAATGTGTACCTGCCTCTCCCTTAGTTACGTCTATCTTTGTGCGTTTCACGACTTTCCTCTGGTTGTCGATGGCGATGGCTGTTGTAGAGACTAGAGCTGCCTGCTCTCTCCTCAAATCGTCGCGATTTCGGTCATAGTCCACCAAGAAAGCCTGTAACAGTGCCGGTGATTTAGCGACATATTCCTCTGGGAAGGGAGGAAAAGGCTCGAAGCTACCAGCCAATTTAAGGGCCAGCTTGGCTGCCGCGGCGTTTTCGTACTCCCTCTTCCTCGTAACATACTCGGACCTTATGGTAGCCCTGATTTGTTCCTCGAGGACCTTAGCTGCCACACCCATACGGAGAGCCAGTATGAGCTTTTTACACACCGACATGGCGCTTCCCGACACGATGAAAGGGAAGGGTTGGAGTCTCTCAGTCAGAGTGGCGCGGTAAGATGGGTCGAAGGACAAGCAATGAGCCCCGCAACTTCTACATTTCACGTCGATCCCGATAAAGGTAGCATGGCCATCCTTGTCTGTACACCATCTTCGTCCGAGATACGGCGTTCGCACGCATTGAACTATCTTCGCATGATGGGCACGCCCCGCTTGTAGGA